ACCCAGCATTTTTCTGCAAATATAAGAACAAGAAATAGATTGGGCATGGCATAGGTTTGCATCTTGTGGCAATACTCTAGCTTCATAGATATAAGAAGATGTGATATGAGTGCCAATGAGACAACTCTCCATCCAAGTCAAAATTTATAAAAGTAAACCATTATAGGTCAAAGTGCGGTCTTCAACACAGAGCTTTGGCTCACACCGAGCAGCAAGCTATAAAGGGCCCCAAAATTACTAGTGTAAAACCATACAAACGGGAAAACCAACGGTCTAATCTATATAAAAAACAAGTAACACTTATGAACCACATCAACAAATGACAACTACTGAACAGCAGATTCCTGACTTAGGACAGGTGCAAACAATTGCAGCGGGTTTAAACGTTTTAATGGTACCAAACCTTCACCCTTATCTGAAACAATAGTGTAACATCACAACATAGAAAGACATACTATAAAATATCAATTGAAATGGCTTAACTCAATCAAAAGACATATTAACACTAGTGAACATACACTGAACAAATAAATTTGATCTATGATACAATGTAAATACAAAATAAATAAACTAAGGGAAGAATAATTAAAGTAACATGTTATACCGCTGTGAAATGTTAAACAATTTAAGAAAAACATTATGCTTGAACAATAATATCAGCCAATTGCAATTACTTTAAACACAGGTAAATGTAAATAATTTTGTTGTTAGGTATATGTGTACAGTTCAAATGGGAAAGGAAATATTTTTACAAAATAAATAATTTTGATATTCATAGTACAAAGAAGTGAAAATTTATAGTAATACCAAACACTTATCAAAGCTGGTATATAGACCAGATATAACCCTGAATAACATTAAATAACAAAAAAGCATTACAATTAGTATCAACAGGTCAAATAAACAAGAAAGTACGATTTGAGAGTACTCGCAGTTACTGACAGCTAGTTAAAAGCCAAAAACAATTAATAATAAAAAATCATGCATCAGAGACTAAAATCAACTAAAACACATCCCAGGGATTTAATATTTTAATGTCATGGACAGTCAAAGAAGACATGACTTGTGCAATGCCAAATATAAATGTATCGACAGGCAGTAGGATAGTTAGGAGTTAACCTCTTTATAGATCAAAATGAACGTGGGTGTGTTTTTATACATCCCGTTTGAAAAGAATACAAATTTAGTTATGTTTTAATTTGCTGATGACAAAATCGATATTAGTACCAATGTAAACTACATGTATATTCAAAGATCTAATTACAACATTGGTAAGATAACCTTTACTAATAAGTTTGTTTAAAGTTTTAAAACATAGTGATTTCCGCGCTTCAAGTACAATATTACCGTAAAATTTAGGATGTGAAATACCGTTTTTAATCAGTTTTCTACAGGTACAGCCAAATTTACTAATCAAATCTTTGTATCTATGAAAGAATTTAGTTAAAGTTTTACGTAATTTATGGTAACGAAATCCCTGACTTAATAATTTACCAGTGATGCATTGATTACGTTCGTTAAAATCTATGACATCACTACACACTCAGTCTTAGTGTGTGCGATAAGATTTTGTGAGGTAATTCAATGTTTTCTATACCATGGTTCACCTAAACACACTTCATGACAATACCGCTGAATAAATCAGAATGCAATCTTTTGCAGTATTTTCAAAAATGTTTTTGCTATGTATCTGTGGAATATATGTTAATAGATTAATGCTTTAAGAAGGTTAATTTTCTGTATAAAGTCGATAATTTTGTTGACTTTTGAAACCCAATCTTTCTATTTCTTAAAATACACTAATGAGAGATTGAAAAACGATGCCAATGCAGACATATAGGTGTTTGAACTTCTAACAAAAAGTTTGGGTGATGAGTGTTTTGTAGTATTAACAAGAAATTGTATTAAAAAATCTCTCATTTTCTCCCAACCCAATTTACCACTAATACTCAATTTGATATGGACTGGTCATTGTTATTAAATCTTACCCAATTCGATTGGATGAAGTTATGATTGCTTCACCTTTAATTGTTTACCTGTTCAAATTTGTCCTTTGTGTATTCTGTAAGCACACAAAATTTTATTACGTAACAATAATTATTGTTTATGAAGACAAGGATGGCAACTAGCTCCAAAGTTAAAAAATCTTTCAGAAATTAAAACACTCTTGTTTGTGGATTAACAATAATTGTTATGGTTTGTCTTTAGTTTGTATAGTTAAGGTAAAGTCGACTTTGAATTAGTATTTTTATGCCCCCGCCGTAGTGGTGGGGGCATTAAGTTTTACCCTTGTCCGTCTGTACGTACGTACTTCCGTCCGTACGTCCCAAAATTGGTTTCCGTTCCCTAACTTGATTTTGCCTCAACCAAATGTTATGAAACTTATACACAATGCTAATTACCACAAAACACAGATCAAGTCACTTTAACCGTTCTAGAGTTATGCCTCTTTATAAATGGAAAAATTGCAAAATTTTTAGTTTCCGTTCTCTAACTTAAGTTTGCCTCAACTAAATGTTATGAAACATATACACAATGCTCATTACCACAAAACACAGATCAAGTTTGATTTTTGGTGGCATCACTTTAACGGTTCTAGAGTTATGCCCCTTTAAAAACCGAAAAATTGCAAATTTTTAGTTTCCGTTCTCAAACTTTAGTTTGCCTCAACCAAATGTTATGAAACTTATACTTTTTTGGAAAAATTGCAAAATTTTTATTTTCTTCTAAATATCAAGTAATTTTTAAAATTAGAGTTACCTTCCTTTGTCCATGATTATAGTTGAATCAACTACAATCAATGCTTTATACAATGCAATGTTTAATTTTGACTTTCACTGATAAAACACAGATCAAGTTGAATTTGGGTAGTGTCAATTTAACCATTATTGAGTTATGCCCCTTCATAAATTGAAAGATTGCAAAATTTTTAGTTTCCATTCTGTTTCTTAAGTTTGCCCCAACCAAACATTATGAAACCTATACACAATATTCATTACCACAAAACTAAGATCAAGTACAAATTTTTTGTTTCCGTTTTCTAACTTTAGTTTGCCTCAACCAAATGTTATGAAACTTATACACAATGCTTATTACTACATAATACAGATTAAGTAAGAAATTTGGTGGCGACACTTTTACCATTCTTGAGTTATGTCCCTTTATAAACATAAAAATTGCTGAATTTTTCGTTTCCGTTCTCTAACTTAAGTTTGTCTCAACCAAATGTTATAAAACTTATACACAACCATTCTAGAGTTATGCATGTTTACAAATAGAAAAAATTGCTGAATTTTTAGTTTCTGTTCTCTACTTAAGTTAGCCTCAACCAAATGTTATGAGACTTACACACAATGCTTATTACCACAAAACTCAGATCAAGTTTAAATTTTGGTAGCGTCACTTTTACCGTTCTTCAGTTATGTCTCTTTATAACTATATGATATGCAAGCGGGGGCATCATCTGTGTCCACATGTGGACACTATCCACATTTATTTTTAATTAACATGATAAAACTAGATTTAGCTAGATTTAACATGAGTCTGTATGAGTTACAGCCAGTCTCAAGAATAATGGGCAACATCAGTGAAGAAAAAAGAAAAATATCTTAAAAATTAAAGAAAATAGAAATGAAGATCCCACTCCAGGCATTTAAAGTATAATTATATTCTGTATTTCTGAAAGCTGGTTAATTTGCATTTCTTTTTACACACATGTGTGGTTCAATTGACCATCAAACTGTACACTGGACGAGTTCATGATATTTTTATGAATGAAACAAAAGGTAGAAAAGGTTCGATTTTGCCTTTCTTAATTTTTCACGATTTTTTTGTAATACAGTGAATTTTTACAATATTGAAAAAGCGCATTCTTCAGAAATTTGAGAAACTTTACAGATCATGCCTTTTCATTTTTTGAAAAATATATCATTTGAAAGAAAAAAATTGAAATGTATTTTACGCACGTCTATGCAAGGTAAAACAGTTGTGTTTCTTAACAGAAAATAATGTCTTTCAGTCTCATTAAGCTGTTACCAGACCAATTTAATCTAAATGAAAGCAGTGAGTTGATAAATATCAGAATATGACAGATCTGCCTATTTTTGTACAAAAATGTCAATTTGATCATTTTAAGGCCGGATTTGTCTACCTCACAAAATCTTGTTAGGCATTATAACATACCAATTCCAACTGCATGTACTGTTATTTAACCAAGATAAAAACTGAAGCCTGTATACCACTTGTGTAAGATCTCAGTAACACTACATCATATACAATTCAACAGGCAAAGTGATGGGACAGCATCAAGGTAGAGTCTAAATGCATGAGTGATCAACTATTCATCAACTCTAACAATACCAACTGGTCAATTTAAATGTCTCAATTGTATTGTCAATTTTACAATCTAGTTGAACAATAGGTATAGTAAAGGACAATACCTATAGTCAAGTCACAGTAAAATACCAAACCCACATTATATGTCCGTTTCAGGCTCTGCACAACAAGTCATAAATATAATTTATTGGTCAAGTACGGACAATATACCACTGTTTTGGAAGCCCTTGATAATACTCATATTCTTGTTTAAATTTGTAAGATTTGTAGGTTGTAAAATTTGTCTTTAATTTAAATTTGAATATATTCACATAGGTCTAAAAATTCCTACACTAGACAACTGATTATATGAGTGGGATTCAGTTCTCCAACTTTGGTTGAAATTTTCACAGGAATATTGAACAGGCATACAATTGTCAATGATTTCTATTTAGTGAGTGTCGTTGAAGCATATTTAAGGTTGCAAAGTCAATTGTCAATACTCAATTCTATTATCAAGTAGTTATATCATCAAGACTATACAACTTATATCCAAGGAATAAAAAGAATGGGGTTATTTCTTGCTTTTAAATCTTTTATGTGCAGAACCTATTCTTCTAACAGAAAAAAATGATAAACTACTTTTAAATTCATTACAAAATTGAATTGTTTTTTTCTCTCTCCAGAACTGATGGTCCTAATGATAAAGAAAAGTTAGTGTTGTCTGAAGAATGTCAATTGATTACTATGGTGAATGTATACCAAGGTCGACTAGAGGTCACCACAACTCATGTTTATTTCTTTGATTGCAGTACAAACAAAGAAGAAGGTAGTTTGTATTATATTTATAAATATTTATGAATACTATCTAGTTTTGATTCCCTCCCCTTGAATTTAACATATATTTTACTTTCTTTCTTAAGAAAAGATAAAAAAAATTTACTTGAGATTTTTTATGAAAATCAAAATCTAATTTTTCGCAAATTTTTAAGCAACTTTGCCTTTATATTGTTTTGTTATTCCTCCGTCTCCTTCTGAAACACTTTTTATGATATTCATTTCTTAAAAATACATTTCATAATAAAAATCCACAGACATGACATGATGTTCTCCATGAATTCTGCAAGCCAATGATTTTTTCTAAAAAACAGACACAAGGACTTATCTATTTACTGGTACAAATGAACCTCGTTGTGTCAAATTGGTTGTGTTGAAAATTTGGATAAGTTGAGGTATTTTGTCAATCCTGGTAAAATTCCTGATTGTTCAATCCATTTCTATCTCTGATGAGTTGAACTCAGTTGATATGAAATCTTTTTTTTTATATTTCATTATCTTTATAAACATCTGTCGTGTACTGTTTTATTTTTATAATTTATTAAATCAATTTGTTTTTGTCTCTCCTTGACAGAGTCAAAAAGCGAGACATATGTATGCTGTTTCCGGCGGCGGCATCAACAATGTATTAGTTTATGATTAGGTCTAGTTCATGGTGAACCACTAGTGGTAGGTCAATGATATTTGGTATGCAGTTGTATTAACATTGGCAAATCTCATTACCATGGAGATTATTTGGCCCCGCCCCCTCAGTCAAGGTCTATTGACTTTGAAACTTTTCATAGTTTACATGTATTAGTTTGTGATTAGGTCAATTTATGGGGAACCACTAGTGGTAGGTCAATGATATTTGGTATGCAGTTGTATAAGCATTGGCATATCTCATTTCCATGGAGATTATTTGGCTCCGCCCCCTTAGTCATGGTCTATAGACTTTGTAAATTTTGCTAAGTTAACATGTATTAGTTTGTGATTAGGTCAGTTCAAGGGGAACCATTAGTGGTAGGCCAATGTTAATTGGTGTCCAGTTGTATAAGCATTAGCACATCTCATTTCCATGGAGAATATTTGGCCCCGCCCCCTCAGTCATGGTCTATTTACTTTGAATTTTTTGCTTAGTTTACATGTATTAGTTTGTGATTAGATCAGTTTAAGATGAACTGCTTATGTTAAGTCAATGATATTTGGTCTGCAAATTTATTGGCATTTGCAAGTATCGTTTCCATGGAGATTATATAGCCCCACCCCTGATCATGGTTCATAGATTTTGAAACTTTTACATAGTTTACAAGTTAATGTTTGTGTTTAGGTTTGTTTAAAGGGAACAACTTATAATGAGTCAATGGTATTTGGTATGCAGTTGTATTAGCATTGGCACATCTCATTCCATGGAGATTGTTTAGCCATGTACCTTCAGTCATGGTTCATCGACTTTGAATATTTGCATAACTTACATGTTAAAGTATTGCTATTTTAATTTCAACATTTGCATTATCAAAATTACAAAAAGGCGAGACATATCTCTGTGATAACAGTTTATTTAATACTACATGCACAATCAATGCAGATGGATTGGAATATAAAAAAAACGTTTTCTACCTAAATTACCATACCAGGGCGATAAATCATAATGCACGTTACTAAATTGAAATGGGGAAAACATGACTCGAACCTCATATGAGTCAAATAGTTTGTTAGATCCCTTCTGTTTGGCTGAATATAAATTTCATTAATATGGATGTATTATTCTTTTTTAATTTCAATAGTGAACCATTCCCAGAAAGCTGAATCACAGTCAATTATATTTGTGTATGCATTTATTACCCTTTAGCATGTTTTATATCTTTTAATGTTTTATGCTGGTTTGAAATATGGAGTATGGAGCAATTTGGCTTCAACCTATTAATCTGTTTAAAGAAAGTTTTGAAACACCAAAATATATTACTGCATATGAAATATGTATACCTTTAATTACAGGTGGAGAAGACTTCAAATGGGCGTTGTCTCAGTTGAGAGAAATACACTTTAGACGCTACAACTTACGCAGAAGTGCATTAGAATTGTTTCTGATTGATCAGACTAATTATTTTCTTAACTTCCAGAAGAAGGTGAATATACTAAAAACCTTACAAGACATAATGCACAACTCTTCTTAAGGCACAACAAGGTCATCCAAAACAATCATACTTTTCTTTCAGTAAATGTCTGTATATCAAACTAAACTGGACTTGCATAATCTTTCATGTGGTTAAGGAAAAAAAAGAGGTTTAGGTGATCTTTTATGGTCATAAAGTTTTCCCTAACACTGGTACACCATACAGTCATAAAAGTGACACAAAGAGAAACTACTTTGACAACAAGCTCTTATTAAATAACCTGTCATCAAAACAGTTAATAGCAAGTGTAAGGGTGAATTGGTATCTGTTATTTACCTACTCAACAAGTACCAAACATCAGTCCTGCTGATTTCCATTTATGCTTAAATAAGTCGTATTAATTTTTATTCTATTCTTTTTTATATCCTTTATTATTGTACATGTATTTTCTATTTCAAGACATTAAATTTAAGGTAGATCAGGTGTCTTTTTCTGAGCATACCTTCTGGGCATGTTTCAAAAATACTTTTTTTTTTTTAAATATTTTACCAAGTTATCACTCAATATTCAACAAAAATAACAAAAATATCTAAATTGAAATTTAAAGATTAAACTATCAAAATATAACATCTTGTAAAGTGTATTTTAATTTTCAGAAAAAATCCTTTTGAATCAAGGGTAGATAATTGTACTGAATTTGATCGGACAATTTGTGTTTTGTTTTTCAAGAAAATAATGCCCATGACCCCCTATTTTTGTCTCGCTTTGACAGAGTTAAAAAACGAGACATAGGTATGCTGTTTCTGGCGACAGTGGCGGCAGCGTCAACAATGTATTAGTTTGTAATTAGGTCTAGTTTACTGTGAACCACTAGTGTTAGATTATTTGACCCCGACCCCTCAGTCATGGTCTATTGACTTTGAAACTTTGCTTAGTTTACATGTATTAGTTTGTGATTAGGTCAGTTTAAGGGAAACCACTAGTTGTAGGTCAATGATATTTGGTATGCAGTTGAATAAGCATTGGCATATCTCATTTCCATGGAGATTATTTGGACCCGCCCCCTCAGTCATGGTCTATTGACTTTGAAACTTTTGCTTACTTTTCATGTATTAGTTTGTGATTAGGTCAGTTTAAGGGGAACCGTTAGTGGTGGCCAATGTTAATTGGTATGCAGTTGTAGGTTGCAATTCTGTAAATATAGACTGCAATTTCCCATAGGAACTCCTTTTACGGCTAAAACTGTACCACTTTTACTAGGAAGTTTCGTAAAAAATTATATCCTAGAATGGAAAGCTCATATGCACTACTATTTTTTTCAAAGGTCAAATATAGTGCTGTGTGGCATATTTTCAACATTTATATGCCCTGAACTTCTAAAAGTTATAGCTGACTATGCGGTATTGGACTTTGCTCATTGTTGAAGGCTGTACAGTGACCTTTAGTTGTTAATTTCTGTTTAATTTGGTCTATTGTGGAGAGTTGTCTCATTGGCATTCATACCATATCTTCTTTTTATACCCCTCCCTTCACTTTGGATCTTCATTTTGATTTGGCCGCTGTTTATGTGTATTTATACTGGTAACATTCCCAAGTTATGTCTCTACGAGATGAAACATAGAGATCATATCTGGGAACCAGTAGGTAAACAAAACAAAATATCTATGAATATTATATATCTCCCCAAAAGAGGCGTGGTTTGTGAAACAGCTGTATTTACAAAGTGCAACCTATACTAACATTCATTTAAATAGAAAAATCTTGAAAAACACTTTTTTCTTACAACAATAGTTATTTATCAGAATCATAGCCAAAAGAAATCACTGCATATGCTCTAACTTTTCTTTTACAGAACATTTTATACCCCTACCCCTGTTTCAGTTTTTAAAGAATTTGAAAACAAGACTTAAATAAATGTCAGCTTACCCTATGTGCATGTTTTCTGACATGAAATGCCTAGAACCTGTATGAAACTATTCTGATAACAAATTGAAAACATTTCAGAATACTATAAATGTAAAGTTTAGTAGTTAATCATGACAACATTCAAGAGTATATAAAGTATCCAATCCTTCCTCTGTCTCCAGTCCACATATAACTGCATGCCTATTTATCTATAAAAGTTCACAATTTCTGCCTCAAATGGTAAGTTCAGAAATCTTGTCACAATAATATTATCTCTTACTATATATACCTAACATAATTTGGCTAATATATGACTAGAAGTGTTTAAACTAACAATATTTGCAAAAATTGTATGTATGAATTAACCAGTCTGATATATGAATTCACTAAAAGTTTTATAGAACTGAGTGATGGAATTTTTTTTTTTTGCATAAATTCAAAGCACAGTTATTGTTTTCTATATAAAAGACCTTTATGATAATAAAATCATAGCCTTTACAAGCTAAATTATCTGTTTTATCACCCAGGGGCTAGGAATTTTTCTCTGTTTTTTGCCCCTGGGGCCTCAAATTTGCAAAGTAATTCTGCTGTTTCTGTGAATATGGAATATTTAGTACATTTTTAGGATAAACACACTATTGTTAGTTTTATTGAGGTATTTTTGTATCTCTAGCTTGTACTTTTTTATGCCGCGGTCACAAGAAAGCACATTCAGGTGTTCAGGCTTACTTTTGGGTTTTCGACAGGACAAAAACACCCCAACAACAATATTTATCAATGATCTATGAGTTTCAATGACGGCGAAGAGTTAATATAAGCACTGCTTAACAATTTAAATTACAAATGTGCATATATAATGAATTTGCTTTGCATACAGGGCTTTAGGTAAATTATGCATATTGTAAATTGTGAATTTATACTGAGTCATCATAGTAAAGGCCCAGGATTTTCTCAATCTTCATGATATATTTATAAAACTTTATATTTGAGTTAATTTCATTAAGATCAACCAGATTTGGTGAAATTCTACATGCTCTCTTTTTTCACCCAATATAAGTTGCAATTCTGTAAATATAGACAATGCAATTTCCCATAGGAACTCCTTTTATGGCCAAAAACTGTACCACTTTCACTAGGAAGTTTCTTAAAAATGATCTCCTAGTATGGAAAGCTCATATGCACTACTATTTTTTTCAAAGGCCAAAATATAGGGCTGTGCAGCATATTTTCAACATTTATATGCCCCGAACTTCTAAGAGTTTAAACTTATACTTAAATTCTGTACTACCCCTCCCTTCACTTTGGGTCTTCCACAGTTTTCAATTAGGCCGCTTTTCATGTGTATTTATATTGGTAACATGCCCAAGTTATATGTCTCTACGAGATGAAACATAGAGATCATATCTGGGAACCAGTAGGTAAACAAAACAAAATATCTATGAATATTATATATCTCCCCTAAAGAGGCGTGGTTTGTGAAACAGCTGTATTTACAAAGTGCAACCTGTATAAGCATTAGAACATCTCATTTCCATGGAGAATATTTGGTCCTTACGCCTCAGTCTCAGTCTATTGAATTTGAAACTTTTGCTTAGTTTACATGTATTAGTTTGTGATTAGTAAAATTGAGAATGCAAATGGGAAATGTGTCAAAGAGACAACAACCCGACCAAAGAGCAGAAAACAGCTGAAGGCCACCAATGGTATCATGCCAACAACTGGTTTTAGAATAAATGTGTTTATTATACCTCTGTCTGTCCTTCCGTCAGTCCATCCATCAGTCAGTCCGTCCTTCCCATGAATATTTTCGTCGCATTTTTCTCAGGAACTACTTGACAAGGATTTCTGAAATTTGGTTTCAGGGTTTATATAAGTTGGTTACATCGTGTGATGCGTTTTCAGATTCATCACTCAACAACTTCCTGTTTACCAAACACTTGTATTATTTTACACATGATAGCCAAGTTGAAAATTTTCGTCACATTTTTCTCAGGAACTACTTGACAAGGATTTCTGAAATTTGGTTTCAGGGTTTATATAAGTATGTTACACCGTGTGATGCGTTTTCAGATTCATCACTCAACAACTTCCTGTTTACCGAACACTTGTATTATGTTACACATGATAGCCAAGTGAAAATTTTCGTCACATTTTTCTCAGGGACTACTTGACAAGGATTTCTGAAATATGGTTTCAGGGTTTATATAAGTCAGCTATACCGTGTGATGCGTTTTCAGATTCATCACTCAACAACTTCCTGTTTACCGAAATATTTCTGCGGGGGTATCATCAGTGAGCAGTAGCTCACATTTTTACTTGTTTCCAATGCAAAGACCCTTTGAGTGAATCAATATTGATACCAAAATATGCCATCTTTAATGACCTGACAACTGTATCGTAACTATATGAATAAATCTGTTTAAAGGTTTGGTTAGCTTTTGAGGTGAATGTTGACAAATTTGTGCTATGTATAGAATATTACCAAAAAAAGATTGGATGTGAAATACCTGAACGTATAAGATGTCTGCATGTTGATTTATATTTACGAATGATGTCCTTGTACCGATGAAAAAATTTAGAAAATGTTTTGACTAGTTTGTGATATCGAAAACCCTGGTGTAACAATTTTTCTGTAATACAGAGGTTTCTTTCGTTAAACTCAAATACCTTGTTACATACACGAGAATATCAAACAAGTTGAGATATATAAACACCATAAGATGATGACAAGGGAACGTCGCCATCTAAAAATGGTTAATTAACAATAGGAAATGAAAAATCATCTCTTTTATCATAAATTTTGGTATTAAGCTTCCCGTTAAAGATATAAATATCAAGATCCAGGAAAGGGCTGTGTACATTGTCAGTATTAGCTTTATTTAAAATCAGTTCAGCAGGATAAATCTCTTTAGTGTACATAATGAAGTTGTCATTATTGAGAGCCAATATATCATCCAAATAAAAAGTGTTATTAAGTTTTTGTTTCAGATGTTGTTTCAATGGGTCTTTGCTGATTTTAGTCATAAATTATAAGTCATAACAATACAGAACAGGTCCACAATAAGTGGTGCACAGTTATCCCCCATTGGAATTCCGATAACTTGACG